TGCCTTAGCCTCCCAGAGTGCTGGAATTACAAGCCTGTGACACTATGGTGGGCTCAGTCTCTCTTTTTCTTTCTTTTTTGCGGTACTGAGGATTGAATTTAGGGAGGGCTAAGCTCCATCCTCAGCCCTTTTCATTCACATATGTTTTATCTGGAGCCAGGTCTAGCTCAGTTGCTTGAGCAATGGGTTCCTCAGGTGCTTGGCCCATCGGCCTGGCCTGTGGGATTGCTTAACGCTGGTTACGTGGCCATCAACGCCTCTCTGGGGCACATTTGGCTCCCAGCTGGCTGGGTGTGGGACTGTCACCTTTCACCTTGTTCCCAGTCCGTGTCTGCCTGGCAGGATCCTGGCTTTCCTGTGTGGCCTCCCAGCCCTGTTAGCCCTGGCCCCAGCTTCCTCCCTCTCACTAAAGTGGCCCCTTCTGCTAAGCAAACTGGAGCAGTGTGACTTGGTGATACTGCGTGGCATCAGGCTGCCCAGAAACGGCCCCTTTCAGAGCCCTGGAAGGAGAGTGCAGGCTGTATTACAGTACTGTTGTGAACTCTGCCAGTCCAAGGTGATAATTTTTAAAAATTAAAATCTTATTTTTACATTGATTGATGGGGACAGGGTCTCTCTATGTAGTTCAGGCTGGCCTTAAACTCACCATTTAACCCAGGCTGGCCTCAAACTCATAGCAATCCTTCTGCCTCAGCCTCTCAAGTGCTGGGATTACAGGCATGTGCCACCATGCCGAGATTTTTTGATTTTTTAATTTTAAAATTATTTTATTTTGCTTTTGTAGTGCTGAGGTTGAACCCGGGACCTCCCACCGAACTACACTCCCAGCCCTATTTGTTTTGATTTTGAGTGATGGTCTCAGTATGTTGCCTAGGTTGGCTTGGAGTGGTATCCTCCTGCCTCAGCCTGCTAAGTGCTGAGAATACAGGCAGAGCCACTGGGCCCTGCTGGGATATTTTTGAGTAGCATTTACAAGGGATATAATCCAGATATAATCAAACAAGCTATGAATAAACACGTGGCAATTGGCCTTTCACCTGTCCAGCATCATCAGCGCTGAGTACCCATATTTCATGACCAGGTGGCTCTGTACTGCCCTCTACTGGTGGCCTCAGAGCAGCCAGAGGAGCCACCCCTTCTGTGTGTGGTGCTGGGAAGATTAGCGGGTGCCTGAGGCCTAGCTGGAGGCCCCTTCCCGGCCAGCCCTCCATGGCTGAGCCCACACCGCCCCCTCTAGGCCACACCTGCCACGGCACGACACGTGGGAGAGCCGATCTCGTCTGGGGAGGGAGTGCCCTGCGTGATGTCCCCTTGGATGCTTGAGTGGTTTTTTTCTTTTTCTTTTTGAGATAAGGTCTCTACGTAGTTCAGATTGGCCTTGAACTCACTATATAGCAGCAATCCTGCTTCAGCTTCCCCAGTGCCGGGACTACAGGCCTGTGCCACCACCTCTGGGTTCCTTATTGCTCATGACCCCGACTAGCTGTTGCAGCGGAGCCCTGGGTGGCAGAGACCCTAAATTCAGGCTCCGCAGCACCGAGCCCCGAGTCCCCCGCGGCAGAGGCAGACGAGCGAGCCTGCACCTCGGGGAGGAAACGGGTCCTCAGGACGCGGTGTTGATCGCTCCTCTGCGGCTCCCCCACTCGCGCCCAGCCCGTCCCCCTTCTCCGCTGAGAGGGGAGCAGGTCAGGGCACTGGTCCCTCAGCGGAGGGGACACCTGGGCGGGGCTAGGACGACCTGGAGTCTAGGCCCTGGTTCTGGATCCAGGCAGGTCACCAGCCACTACAGGACGAGGGCTACATTCAATGAGGCCAACCCGGAGCCCCCAGGAGGAGGAGGTGGGAAGGGACCCAGAGGCGACAGGGCCTCGTGGTCCGGGGCCTCAGTTTGGTGAGCCTGGGGCAGGTCTACTCAGTGCGGCATCCAGGACAGGAGCCTGGGGTCAGGAACCAGGCAGCCCTGGCCCTGCCACTGCAGTGCTGTGTGACTTTCATGGGTTCCTTTCCCTCTCTGACTTTGTTTCCTCATCTGCAAAATAAGGATAATCGTGGAAGATACCTCTGAAGGCTTTGTGATAATCTGTTGAGATTAGCATGTGAAAGTATAAGGAATAATAGGAAGAATGCGGGGTGTGGTGGCGCAGCCCTCAGGAGGATCACAGAGTGTTCAAGGCCAGCCTGGGCCGCACAGTGAGACAAAAACCCAGGGAGAGAAGGGAGAAGGAAAATCAGGAATAAGGATGCCTGCTGCTGCCGGAGCCCAGGGTCGCAGGGGCTCTGGAGGGCAGTCTAGAAGGATGGAGGTGTAGATCCGTGTTCGGTATCCCGAAGGGTAGGGGGGCGCAGGAGACTAGCTGCTGTGTGGGTTAACTCAAGGCGCGGGGAGTGGGGTCCTGCGCAGCCGCTCACGGAGTCCCCAGCGCGCCCTCTGGTGGTGGGTCCGGGTCTTCAAGGCCGAGCGAGCCGAACCTTTCCTAATTATTCACGGCCCACCCACATTTCCCAGCTCCTTCTCCCTCTGGGCCACGTGGCTGCTCCCGAATACTGGGCTACTGGGCTGTGATCAGATGTTTGCCCATTTATTATTATTATCATTATGGATGTTTTGCGACAGGGTCTCCCTTTGTAGCCCAGGCCGGCCTTGAATTCGCAGTGATCCTCCTGCCTCAGCCTCCCCAGTGCTAGGATTACAGGAATGTGCCCCTATGCCTGGCTACAAACAGGAGTTCGGGAGACAGACAGACCTTTGATATGTTCAGCCACGGAGATTTGGGGGCTTTTTGCCGAGGCAGTTACTGCTAACTGTCCCGACCCACACAGTATGGAGGCCACGTCAGCTGCCTGGGGTCACACGGGTCACGGTGGGCAGAACTGGGACTTGATGGCAGTTTTCACAAACTCCATTTCCTTTCCTGCCTGACAATCGTCCCCAGGCGCTGCCACCCCACTGACATCTCGTGAGAAGGCTCAGCAGGGCTGCAGCCGCATGGGCAGCGGATGGACTCAGGCACGTGGCAGGATGGTGAGGATTCCTGACATTCTAGGCTACCTAGAGCGGTGACATTCATGGTGACAGGTGCAATGGAGACCAGACCACAGCAGCACACCCTCGCTGGGCAGAGTTCCCGTGGGGGCGGAAATTCTCCCCCTAAACAGGAGCTAGGGTGTGGCAAACCCGCTGCGCAAGCAGGCCTGCCTGTCAATCACAGCCCGCACACATGTGCAGAGCAGCTTCCAGGCCCTGCCCTGGGGCAGATCCATTGGCCTTGTAGCTACTGCCTGCTTCTCGGTGGCAGGCGTGCAGGCTGTTTCATTCTTCCCACACTCCCTCTCCTCTTCTCCACTTCTCTTCTCCCTACTTTTCTTGCATTTAATGCCTTTAATAAATGTACAACTTTTTTTTTTGAGACAGGGTCTCGCTATGTAGCCCAGGCTGGCCTAGAACTTAGGTGATCCTCCTGCCTCAGCCTTCTGAGGGTGCCACCACGGCCGGCCTAAACATCTTTTTTGCTTGTGCTATTCAATTCTTTGGGATAAGGAGCCTAGAAGGGACCCCTGAGCACTCTAGTACCTGGTAACAGGGAGACTCACGAGGGAGAGGCTTTTCTGTGAAAGTTGTCAAATTAACTAACATGAATGCCAACTTTTATTCTGCATTCAAACTCTAGGTTTATTCAATACAATTCCGTCACACAACAAAGTACAAATATAACCTTATCTAAAATGCTACAAAGTTACAAAACTCAAAAAAAAATTTTCTTTCTTTTTTTGTTTGTTTTTTTTGCTTTTTGGTACCAGGGATCAAACTCGGGTCCTTGTGCTTTTGAGGCAGGCGGTGGAACCACTGAGCTAAATCCCCAGCCCCTTTTCTTTCTTTTTTTGAGACAGGGTCTCTCTGAGGCTGGGCTCCAACTCACTTGGATTGTCCCGCCTCAACCTCCTGAACGCTGAGATTACAGGTATGCAGCACCACACCTGGCCCAAACCTCAAATCCTATAGTACTGACTGTAAAGTACAAGCAAAACAAAACAAAAGGCAATGTACACATTTGACCAGCATGCATGGTGGGTAAACCAGGGGGCCCCTTGGTGACTTGCAAAGCTGGCTCTCAACTTGCTTATGGCTTTTTTGTTTTTGCTTTGGTTGACAGTTTATTAAATACACTACATTTGTACCTTATTTTGTAGTTTTTAAAAATTGCTTGCTTATGGCTTCTGACAGTAAAGGAGACAAACAGGGTGGACTGTAGTGAGAACAGGGAAAGAGGGGACCATCGATGGCAACTAAGACAGGGTGGGGGACTCCCAGGGTTTGACCCTAGAGGCTGGAAGAGGACTCAGGCAGGAATCCCAGGCTCAGGAGGCCTCAGCCACAGCGAGGTCTGACCAGGCTGCCCCCAAGTCATCTGGACAGGCCGGTGCCTGTCACCCCGAGGCTCTGCTGCTGAGCAGACTCTCAGGAGATGGGAACAGGAGAGCTTCCTAGACAGAAAACCTCAGGGCACCTTTCTGGGCCACCAGCATTCTGCAGCCAGAGCCCAGCTATGGAGCAGGGCTCCCCACAGCTGCTCTGGGGCCTGCCTGGGATGGATCCTTTCCTCCGGCTCCTCCTGAGGCTAGAAAAGGGACTCTGGGCTCAACAGCAACCAACTGGATAAATCAAATGACCACTGAGAACTCCGTGAGACCTGTGGCTGCTGAACCTGATCTGCCTCTTAATTTCTGCAGAGGGATTTATCAGGTACAGCACATAGTATTAGCAATGGCACTGATGCTTTTAATTTTTTTTTTTTTTGCTTTAGTACTGGGGATCAAACTTAGGACCTTGCGCTTGCACGGCAGGCGCTGGAACCACTGAGCTAAGTCCCCGGCCCCCACAAGAAAGAATTTTGATAAAATAAAGTTTTGGTTGCTGGGGATGGTGGTGCGTGCCTATAATCCCAGGACTCAGGAGGCTGAGGCAGGAGAACTGCTACAAGTTTGAGGCCAGCCTGTGCTACACAGTGAGATCAAGGCCAGCCTGAACTGCATAGTGAGACCCTGTCTCGAAAAAAAAAAATTCCACCGCCTGCCTTGCAAGCTAAGGACCCAAGTTCGATCCCCGGTAACAAAAAAAACAAAAAAACAAAAACAAAACCCAAAAACAAACAAAAACCCCAGACCAAACCAGAATCCAGCAGTGTTCTCATTCCTCACTCTAGCTCTTCCGGTCTCCCCGGCCCAGAAAGCACTGCTTCAGTCAGGCTTGGGCTCAAATCCCTGCTCTGCCACTTCTGCCTGTGTGACAAGTGAGCAAGTCACTTTGCCTCTCAGAGCCTCAACTTCCTTGTGTGTGACATGTTTTTAAGCATTAGAGGGCTGGGCACGGTGGTACATGCCTGGAATCCCAGCACTCTGGGAGGCTGAGCCAGGAGGATTGCAGGCTTAAGCCTAGGTTGGGCAAGTCCACAAGCATGAACGATAATGGCTTCGAGGTGCTTAACAGTGCTCGCCATGTGAGGCGGCTACAACCCAAGGCTGGCTCGCTCCCAAGTGCGAGCAGGGGCTATCAAAGGACAGGGAACCTGAGCAGATGCATGCTGAGAAGGCGCACATGTGTATGTGCACACAGCCCCGCATAGCAGCCGTGGGACACTTCAGGAACCCTGACTCACCGTCCCTGCTCTTCTCTGGCCCTGTCCTTGGGGATCTCTCCTGAGCCTGGGCATCCTAGAGAAGGGCCGCCAGCATTTCCTCTCGGGAAACCCAGCGGGGCGCTGGCTGGGCCCCAATGGCCTCTGGAGTCCACATCTGTCCGTCCCTGTGGCTGTGAGCGGGAGCCTCTAGAACCAGCTCAGTCGTTCACGTCCAGGTTGAACTCTGGATACAGCTCTTTGGTGGTGACGCCTCGGATCACAGCTGCACGGGAGGAAGGCAGCATGGATGTCCAGGGAGAAGTGGCCGCAGGAATGGCCAAAACCCTGTGCGGCGTCACTGTCCCGACCCCCAGAACCAGCACTGGTTCCCAGACGGCTGCACTGCTGCCTCCCCAGGGTAAGGGAAAGGCCAGGCACCACACAAGGCCAGCCACGCCTCAGGTCAGCCCCAGGCAGATGTGAGCCCCATGCTTGACCCGGGAACACCTGACTCTCCAAAGCCTCGTCCCATTGTGCAGCAAATCCCCTCTTCAAACTATGGTCTTTTATTTTGGTTTTTGGTACTGGACGTTGAACCCAGGGCCTTCACACTGAGCTACATCCCCAATCCTTTTTTAATGTTGCGGCAGGGTCTTGCTAGCTTATCCAGGCTGGGCTTGAACTTGGGATCCTCCTGCCTCAGCCTCCCAGAGTGGTGGGATTACACACATGTGACAGACAGCAAGTATAGCTTTAAAGACTCATTCTTTCCGTGGGGAAGGCTGTCCCGGAGGCCTCCTTCCAGCACCTTATTTATTCCCATCTGCCACTGTATTCATTCTCAGTATTCTCCCCATCTTGGCTCTTTGTTTCCTTCACAGCCTTGAACGTTTTATAATTAATTAGCTCTGTTCATCTACTTACCGACCACTGACCACTGCACCCACTCCAGCACAAAACCCTAGGCCACACAAGAGCAGACCTTCCCACGCCTGCTCACCAGGTCTCCAGCACCCTGGAAAGTACGGGGCACAGAGAAGGGGCTCAGTAAATAGTCACTGAGTAAACACAAAAGGGACAGGCCACGGCTCCAGATCGTCTAACCTAGAAACGAGAGAGGCCACCGCAATGCAGCACAGAGAGATGCAGGAGTCCTAGACAGCCCCGGCTCTGAACACACCCCGATGGCTGCCGGTGGCCCACTGAGCCAGAGAGTTCGTACAAGGCCATCTCTGCATCTCCTGCCCTCTGAACCAGCTCACACTCTTCTGTCATAGCCAAAGCCCTCTGGATAGCTAGACTGATGGTGAGGTGGAACAAAATTCCCCTCTAGGCCACAAAGCGCTCTCTTTGCACTTGCTTCCTCTTCAACAAGTCTGCGCTGGAGGCTGAGATGGCAGGAGGATTGTAAGTCTGAGGCCAGTCTGGGCAATTTAATATTAGCGACCCCGGAAGAATGGGGACCCTAAGCTGGGCATGGTGGTACATGCCTATAATCCCAGGACTCTGGAGGCTGAGGCAGGAGGATTGCTGCAAAATGGAGGCCAGCCTGGGCTACACAGTGAGACCCTGTCTCAAAAAACCAGGGGGAGGGCTGGGGATTTAGCTCAGAGGCACCGCACCTGCCTTGTTGGTGCAAGGTCCTGAGTTCAATCCCTCGTACCAAAACAACAATAACAAAAGCCAGGGGGAGCAGACTGGAGAGAAGGGGGGTGGGCATTTAGTGAGTTAAGAGGCACAGGAGCAAAACCCAACTCTCTAGAGGAGGCCAACACCCTCATCCCTGGGGCTCCCCCAGAGCCTCTGCTCACCTAGCTTGCCCAGCAGCATCTGCCCCACATCCTTGATGTCGTTGTACTCGTGCAGCTGGGAGATGTGCTCCTCCAGTTCATCCACACGGTAGCCTCTTCGAGTGATGGAGAGGGGGAGACACCACCACAGGAAGTCAGTGCGGACCCCGGGTTGGGACAGCAGCAAGGCCTGTCTAGCACATGGTCACTGCAGGCTTACTTGGTGCTCAGGAATGGCTGGGCAGACCTGGCCCTCCTGGCAAACGTGCCCTGTCCCTTAAGGGAGGGTCCCCAGGTGAGGGACTCACAGATGGATACAGGATCCAAGCAGCCCGGCAGATTCTCCCGAGTGTGACACACATATCCCAGAGCTGCTCAGTGTCTGCCACAAGGAGCGCTGGGAGGTGTGGATGAGCCGCTTCCTGCATACTGAAACCACTGTGGAGCAAGTGAGTGCTCGTGGAGGCGGAAGCAGAGCAACACTGGATGGAAGCAGAGCAACTTTCCAGTGTTGGCTCCAGGTGAACCCAGGTGGACCCCTGCCCTGCCAGAGAGGATGCCGGGACCCCTGAAGCCAATAGCACATTCTTTTATTCTTTTTGAGACAGGGTCTTACTATGTAGTTCAGGTTGGCCTTAAACTTGAAGTGATCCTCCTGCCTCAGCCTTTGAGCCCTAGGATTATAGTTGTGTGGCACCATGCCCAGCCACAGTATTTGGCTAGTGTGACTAGGTTTTAGTTACTAGGCATTAGTTAAGTATTTTTGTTTTTGTTTTCTGCAGTGCTGAGGATGGAACCCAGGGCTTCGAGCATGCTAGGCAAGTACTCTACTGCTGAGCTACAGCTCCCAGCCCAGAGTTATCTAAACTCCGCTGGGAGCCTAATACTTACTCAGATATTAACTGGGATATCTCCTTGTCCAGCGTGTCCCTCTTCTCCTTCAGCTTCTCAACGTCAAGGTGCAAGGACTCCTCACTGGTCCCATCAGCTTGGCCAGACTTGGGAGATGGCCGCTGAGTGGCAGGAAAAGCCATGAGCTGGACTGACCAGTTTCCCACAATTCAGAGCTTTTGTGATGTTCCCAAATAGCCACTCTCCCAAGGCCCTAGAACATTTCCTGCTGCCTGGAATGTGGATGTAATGCTGGGGCTGGGCAGCCATCTTGGATGAAGAGGCAGAAACCACATGAGCTGGCATGGTGGCATGTCTGTAATCCCAGCAACTCAGCTATGGGAGGCTGAGGCAGGAGGATTGCAAGTTTGAGGCCAGTCTGGGCAATTTAATATTAGAGACCTTGTCTCCAAAAACATTTATTTTATTTTATTTTTGGTATGGGGGATCAAACTCGCATCCTTGCGCTTGCGAGGCAGGCAGTGGAGCCACTGAGCTAAATCCCCGGTCCTCCAAAAACATTTTAAAAGGACTGGGGCTGTAGCTCAGCGCTAGGAGGCTTAAGTAGGTCCTGGGTTCAATCTCAACAGTGCAAAGGGAAAAAAGTGCCATGTGTTAAGGGTGTAGTAGAATAGGACGGAGGCCTGGGTCCTTGATGACAGTTTGTGCCACTATTTATTTATTTACTTTCAGGACTGGGGATTGAACCCAGGGGCACTTGACTATTGAGCCCTTTTTATTTGGACACAGGGTCTCATTAAATTGCCCAAGCTGGCTTCCACTTTGTAATTATCTTACCTCAGCCTTCTAAGGAGCTGAGATTGTAGGGATATGCCTCCACACTCAACAGATTTTTTTTTCCATTTTGTGGTCCTAGGAATCAAACCCAGAAACTCACACATGCTAGGCAGATGCTGTACCGCTGAGCTACCCCCATCCCTATTTCAGGCCTACTTGGACTCTCAGCTATAACCAGCCCTAAGTGACAGGCCCACCCTGGCCTCCAATGTGATGCCACAGAATGAGCAGCTGGTTTCTTTCTTTGGGGCTGTAGTTCAACTTTGCCCTTTCTGCCTCTAAAAGCTGCTGAGGCCAGCATTAATAACCGTACTCCGCACTGACTCTTCAGGAAGTATCTGCTGGACACTGTCTCTTCAGATGTCACCCAATAGGGCCGGGGATTTAGCTCAGTGGTTCCGTCGCTTGCCTTGCAAGCTCAAGGACCCGAGTTCGATCCCCAGTACCAAAAAAACCCAAACAAACAGACGTCACCCAACAACAGGAAGTGAGTAGTATCTGACAGCGCTGGCAAAGGCCCTGGGTCAGCAGCAAGGATACCACATGCAGCCAGGCCCTCATGACCTGGGGACACTCAGCCAAGGGCCAGCAAATAGCTCCTTCCTGCACACAGCTCCATGGAAAGCTCTCCCTCTGCCCTGGTGATTTATCTCACTTCTCACTACCTGACAAGTTGTTCCACATCACTGTTACCATGGTGAACTCTGTGGGGCAGGGATTTGGGGTTTGATTCTGGCTGACAACACAGTGTCTATGAGAGTACTTTCGTAAAAAGGTGGTAGAGAGCAAGGCAGAGAGGGAAGAGGTGGACAGAGGGCCAGGTGGGGAAAGAGAAACTGAGGCAGGAGAACAGGATGATGGCCATGCAAGAGGCCCAAAAAGGAGAAAAGTGAGGGTCCCAGTGAAGAGCTCAGGCTCTGGTGTGAGGCTGCTTCAGTTCAAAGCCCCTAGCTCTGCCGCTTCCTGACTTCATCTCTCTGGCACTCACGGGCCTCAGCTGTAAAGCAGAAAGGCCAAAGCGTCTATCTCAAAGGTGCTGGAAGGACTTGAGAGATGACACACTAAAGCAAGCCGACTGGGATAAAGTAAGTGCTCAATAGAACATGATTTTAGCAGAGCACACTGGTGCACACCTCTAGTCCCAGCACTTGGAAGACTGAAACAGGTACATACTGAGACCCTCATCTCTCTCTCTCTTTTTTTCCTGGTACCAGGAATCGAACTCAGGACTTTGCGCTTGCTAGGCAGGCATGATGCCACTGAGCTAAACCCTGGCCCAAGACCCTCATCTCTCTCTCCTTTTGTTTTTTGGTACCAGGGATTGAACTTGGGACCTTACGCTTGCGAGGCAGGAAGTGGAATCCCCGAGCTAAATCCCCGGCCCCCTCTCTCAGCTCTTAAAAAGCCAAAAAACAGCCTTATTTATTTATTTATTTTTGGTATTCAGGGATTGAACTCAGGACCTTGCACTTGCTAGGCAGGCGGTGGTGCCACTGAACTAAATCCCTGGCCCAAGAGCCTTATTTTTAAAAAGTGTAAAACTCCTTATTATGAATGTTATCATTACGTACATTTAAAGTATACCAATAAATGTTCTGCTTCAAAAAATAAAAAAAGTGAGTGTGAGTTCAAGGCCAGCCTAAACAGTGCAAGACCCTGTCTCAAAAACCTAAAAAAAAAAAAAAAAAAGTGAATGAAAGAAAGAACAGGAATGCGCAAGGCATAATTTGCAAGAGTGTGAAACTGAAGGAAGGTCAGATGGTGGCTTTTGAGTTTCGAAAAGAAAGCACCACTCATGAACTCTGCAGGTTCCACAAATCTGCTGCTTCTGGCAAACCTCAGCTTCCCACTCTATTATCGGTTGGGCCTTGCCTCCGGTCTCACGTCCTCTGGGGAGCCCTCCTTGCAACCCTAAGTCTGAGCTGCCCCTCTCCCAACCACACTCAGACCGTCCTGGAATTTTTTTGGCCTGTTTATCTCGCTCAGCCTGTGGATCCTGGGAGTGCGGACGCTCAATGAACAAACGAAAACCAAGTCTTTCAAGACCTAACTGAAGGTGGTGGTGGAAATCTCACTGTGGGGAGAGGAGGGGGAGCGGAGGGATGGAGAACGGGCCCGGGGTTCTCAGCGGGACGGCTCAGCCGGGGAAAGGGCTGGGGGGGGTACTCACCGGGGATCGGAAGGCCCTGCGGCAACTCCGGCTCAGGCCCGGTTCGGTCCTGGAGAGGAAGCGGAAGGGAAAGGCTGAGGCCGCCAAGGGGCCCGGAGAGGACCCGGGGTACGGGGGGCTGGGGCCCGGCAGGAACCGCGGGAGGGCGGTCCGATCTGCTCCCGGACTCAGGTCAGGGGCCCTGAAGGAAGGGGGTGTGGTGAGGGGATCCTGGAGGTAATTCCCGAAACTTGCAAGTGAGTGGTGGAGCTGTGAGAGCTCAGGAAAGGGACAGCGAAGCGCTGCACTCCTCCCTACGGCTCGTGCCTCGCCCACCTCCTGAGCCCTGGCGTCCGAGGCCCCCTGGTTGGGGGACTCTGCAGCGCCGGAGGGTCCAGGGCCGTACGCCAAAGAGCCGGACTGGCCCTCCGGGCAACCAGAAGCCACTGACAGAAACAGCGAAGCGTGCCCAAGTCACCGCGAGAGCACGCCCCGCCCCCGGAATGGGCGGGAACAGGAACTGCGCGCGCAGCTTTCAACGTGACCTCGCCCACCCACGCGGGTGCAGCAGCCCGGCCTCGCCCCTACACGGCATCGTCTCTGTCACTGACCAATGGGCCTAGAGGATTAAGGTCTTGCCCACACTGACGAGTATCGAGTTTAGTACCGCCCAAGTTACGCCTCTCCTGCCAGTGCAGCGTCCTGACGCGATAGCTTTCGGAAGAAATTCCGCAGTGGCTGATGGGATTGTGGTGATGTGGCCCCACCCCTTCCCCCCTCCCAGCCCCGGGATGTCGGAAGAAACCAGACAGAAGAAATTGGCTGCGGCCAAGAAAAAGGTAAAACGCACCAGGTCGCGAGCCCTCGACCCAGCCCGAGTCTTCCCGGCGGGCGGATCGTGGGCAGAACATGTGCCACTCCTGAGGCGGATGGGGCGAGCCCCTGGGCGCCCCCAGTTCCCCCACCAAAGTCCTCTCAGCCAGCCCCGCCTCCTCAGCCGCCCAGCCCCCGCCCTCTCCGGGCCCCCGGGTGACTTTGGCGGTGACTCCCGGGACTCCCCACTCAAGGCTCGGCCCCTACCTCCTGCCGCCCCAGACCGGACCTTTCCGGCCCCGTATCCGCGGACGTCGATCCCTTTCCCCGTTGGAAAGGAGAGGAGGGCCGACTACGGACCTGCTCCGGGGGATCGGGAGGGAGGAGTAGGATGCAGTTATGTCACCGTCCCCCAACTGTCATTACTACCGCCAGCCCGGCCTTTGATCTTCCCACTCGGCCCCCTAAGTGTTCGAACACCCTTTCTGGTTTTTCTGGTCGCGCGGTGCAGAAGTCCACCTGGAAGGGGACTCGGGACCATGAGAAAGAGTGCAGAGAGCTTTTAGGTTCCCTGAGTCCTTTAATTTAGACCCCGACAACGCGCAAACTTCACCAAGGAACTCAAAACGTTGACACAGTATCTCTGGGTGACCATAGGAGAGCAGGTTTGTGTTGGTTTTCTCACAGGCTTCAAGTGTCCAGAGAGACTTAAATTTTTTTTCTAGATTCTCTGCTTTATATTCAAATTCCCTTTGACTCTGGGACCAGAATGGCCTTTATTTAAGCTCGTTGGAAAGAGATCTGCTTGTTTAATGCGGAGCAGATCCTTGGAAACAACTTCACAGTTTTGTCTCTACCTGGGGTGCTTAGTGTCACAGGATAAATACGAGGCCTTTTTTGTTTGTTTTGGTTTTTTGATACAGAGTCTCACTCAGTAGTTCAGGCTAGCCTTGAATTTACTATGTATCCCAGGTTGGCTTTGAATTCTTGGGAGCCTCAGCCTCTCAGGTGCTAGGATTACAGGCACGCAGCACCATGTCTAGCTATTTTCTGAAACATCAGTTCTACTTGATTCTCTTGAGAGAGATCAACCATGTTAATGTACTTAGGAATGGCATGTGCACAGATTTGTGAAGTGGAATAGATTTCTTTCTGAAATGGTGCTTGAATTGGGCTGTTAGTTCCCGGGTTCTCTGAGGCTGTGCCTTGACTGCTTCTGGCCTAAGGGCACATTGATGGAAGTTTTGGAATCTTGGTATACAGCCCTGACAGATGTGTAAGAAAGTACCCGGATGTCTGCTTTCTAAACCACCAAATGTACAGTTCCTGCCTGTTTAATGTTTACTTTTCCACTTCTACCTCTGGGTTTGCCCCCTGGGAGTGGCTGATTCATGGCAAACCCCAGAGCTGAGAGTTAGAAGATTAAATTTAAATCCATTATTGCCTTTGGTGTGTGGGGGGTATGGTGCTCAGGATTGAGCACAGGGTTTTGAGCATGGTGGGTAAGTGCCTTACCACTGAGCTACATCCGCAGTCCATTTATTGCCTTTTTGTTTTTCAGTACTAGGGATTGAGTCCAGAGAGTGCTGAACTACATCCCCACCCCTTTTTATTTTTATTTCCTATTTGGTACCTGGGATCAAACTCAGGACCTTACTCTTTCAAGGCAGGCGAGGCACCACTGAGCTAAATCCCCGGCTCTATTTTGACCTTTTAAAAAAATTTCCCAGGCTGGTCTCAAACTTACGATTCCCCTTGCTACAACATTCCCAGTAGTTGGGATTGTAGGTGTACACCAGCATTCCAGTTTGTCTTTTTTTTTTTTTTTTTTGAGGGGGGCGGTCTTTGTGAGACAAGGTCTTGCTATGTTGTTCAGACTGTCCTTGAACTCACTATGTAGCACTGCCTGTCCTCGAACTCACAGCAATTCTCATGCCTTCCAAGTGCTGAGATTACAGGTGTGTGCCATCATGCCTGGCCTTTTTTTGGAGACAGGGTGTGGGTCTGTAATTCAGGCTGGCCTTGAACTCACAGCCTTCTTAGTGCTAGGATCACAGGAGTGTGCCATCACACCTGGCTGATAAGACTACTAAAAACTAGGTCGGGGATTTAGTTCAGTGGCACCAAACCTGCCTTGCAAGCACAAAGTCCTGAGTTTGATCCCTAGTATTCCCCGCCTTCCCTGCAAAAAAAAAAAGAGTACTAAAAACTGCAGGAGGATGTGAAAACAGGGGCTTATCATTTTCATGAGTATCATTGCTTTTCCTTTCCACAGTTGAGGGAATTTCAGCAGAAGAACAGCCCTGGTGGTCCTGCAGTAGTGAAGAAGAAGAAAAAGCTGAAATATGACAGTAACCCTGAGACAAGCACTGCTGGTGATGACCACTCACCTGAGGACGTGAGTCTTGGCAGGCCAGGCTGCTGGGGCTAGGGGCTCATATAGTAGGAGAGGGTCATGGTTCAGATGAGAAAAGAGTCAGGTACTGGTTAGAATTCTGCATTTAAGGGCTAAGAGTGTTGTAACTCAGTGGTAGGGCATTTGAGTACCATGTGTGAAGCCTTGGGTTTGATCCCCAGCGCCGGGGATCAAACACACACACACACACACACACACACACACAGATAATATGTATTCTTAAGAAATTTAAATGAGATGTTGTTGCTTTTATGTCAGTTCCCTAGGGCCTGGTGCAGAGTAGACCTTCACTAAATGGTAGTTGCTATTTGATTTTCCTCAACCTCGGGAAGTCAGGCCAGTGAGAACAGCCACTTGCCATCAGGCTCTCTGGAAGAGCCCCAAGGTGTGGGGAGGAGAGCCCCAGGCAGCAGGAGGAGGAGAAGATCTGAGTTTTGCATTAGCTTGCTGGGTGACCTCAGAAAAATCACCTTCTCCCCTGGGCCTCAGTGTCTCCCAAAGTTAATTTTCAGCTGTAGCCTGTTGTGTTCAAGTGATCCCTTACTTGGGAGTCTGGTTTTGAAAATGGAGATGGGGGTCTGGAGCCCGTCCAGACTCCTCCCCAATTCTGGATCTGAGGCGAGGGTCTCATGTGCATATAAGGGCTGCATTGTTCCGGTGATGTGACTCCATCCCTTGGGTCAACATTCCCACCGACTTGTGTACCTTGATTAGAAGTGGCTGTCTGAAAGGTGGCACAGGTCCTGGTACTGATCTCTGTTCTTCTTCAGCATTCCATTTCCCTGAGCCCACTTTTTCCTTCCCTGACTTTCTTGCTTCTCTAAGCCACTTTTCTCTTTTCCCCCCTGCCCTTGTTTTTCCCTTCCCGCCTCCTGTAGATTCAGGACATTCTGAAGGTGCTGGTGTCCGACCTTAACCGTTCCAATGGGGTAGCGCTCCCCTCATTGGACAGATGGCAGGTGAGGCAGTGCTGAGACCCCTCTCTGGCTTGCTCTCTTCCAGCTGTGCATGCCCCTGAGGCTTCTCTGGTTTGAGGATCCTCTGCTGCTGGCTTATTTTATGTTGCTGCCATTAACCCTCAGCCCGCCTGTGTCTGCTTCTTCACCTGCTTGGTTGATTGGGCGTTTTTTCCATCTTTTATCATCTTGGAGGAGGTGACACATACCTTGAAGGGTAAAGCTAATTTGGGAAAACTTTCAGAGCAGATCTGTGGGGTTTTGGCTTTTGAGCACCTTGTGTAGTGCTGTCAGGATGAGAGAAATAAAAAACACCTTTAGGTCGCACCCTCTGGGCTTCTATCCCTCAAAGACCAATAGAATGAAATTAATTTATCTTGGTTTGCAATGAGAAAGGAGTTAAAAGAAAATGAGTTTGCATTAGAGTTGCAAAGATTAAGTCTAGTTTTTTTCAGATGAACTAAGTGCAGAGGGTATGAGGTTAACCAGACAGATGAGTGATCAGAACTCTGCCCCTAATCTGTTTTACAAATCAGAGGCTACTTGGCCATATTCCCTGGGTCCTAGGTAGCAAAGGCACTTTGCTAAGTAGTGGTGAACATAGATGAGCAAGATAAAGTGCCCGAGGGGCAGACAGAGGCTTCTGGAAGCAGCAGGGACAAGGCGGCAGTATGCAAATGCTCAGTCGACTTGAGGCTGGAGGAGGTGGCATTTGAGGTTGCTTTGAAGATTAAAGGTAGGTCACATTCAGGCCAGGGAGCATGGGGGTGGGGTGGGGAAGAGCTAAGCTCACAACCAGCATCATGAGCTCTCGGACCACTTTCTGGGGATGCGGGGCCTAGGTCTAGAGGGTGAGGAAGTGGCTTCTTCCGGATGTGATGTTGGCACATCCTCCTTAGCTAGCTTTCCCTGGGATATCTGCCAAGCCCGAGGAGCAGGGCTGAGCCAGGGCCAGATCCTGCTGGAGCTGGGCTTGGGGAAAGGGATGGATGGGTCCCCTTGGCTGGTACTGGAGAGTTTCCAGTTGTCACAGCTGTTCCCACCTGGGAAGTTATCTCTGCTCAGGTGCTGTGATTCACCCAGTCAACTCAGATATACTGGGACACACTTAACCACAAGATTTAAAATTTATGGTGAGCTGGGTGCAGTGGCCTACACCTGTAATCCCAGCTACCCTGGAGGTTGAGGCAGAAAGATCTCAAGTTTTAGGCTAGCCTAAACAACTAGTGAGAATCCTGTCTTGAAATAAGATAATTAAAAGAGCTGGGGTTGTAGCTCACTGGCTGAGTGCTACTGGGTTCCATCTGCAATATACTGCAAAAAAAAAAAAAAAGACAAGATTATGAATTGAGGGCCAAGGATTTAGCTCAGTGGTTTTGCTGCCTGCTCCACAAGT